AGTTTTTTATTTTTAATTTTCTTTTTTTATTTTTAATTTTCTTTTTTGTTTTTCGAAACTTGCATGCGTTTGCAAGCCCCGCTGAGGTGTACGTACACCCCAGCGCCTGCTGCGGAACTGCTGATCCCCTCGCCCGCAAAAACGCGCGCAAAACGAAGGGTTTAGGTTTTAGGGTTTAGGGTTTAGGGTTTAGGGTTTAGGGTTTAGGGTTTGGGGCGCCCCACAGGTCCTATAGCTCAGTTGGTTAGAGCATTCGGCTAATAACCGAAAGGTCGCCGGTTCGAGACCGGTTGGGACCACTTCGTTTTTATTCATCTTTTGAAGTTTTTAAATCCTTTTTTGATTTTTTTTAATTTAATTTTATTTTTTTTGCTTTTAATTGCAAATTAAATCAAAAGAAGGTCTCAATTGACCCATTTGAGGCCCACAGGGCCGGAGGGGGCGGCGAGACGAGGCGGGGGCCCCCGGGGGCCCCTTTCGGGGGGCCCCGCTGCTGCGTGGGCGGCGGTGCGTTCAGGTTTTTCGACTTTTTTGGCTAAAATGGTTTATTTTTTTTGGACTTTTTGGCTAAAATGGTTTAAATTTGAAGAATTAGAGTTTTTTAAATCGCAAAAAGTCGTTTTAGAGGCTCTTTTTGGTGCAGATCCGCGGCGGGTAGCTGCGGCGGCTCCCATTCGCTGCGGCGCGGAAGGGGGCCCCAGAGAGAGCCAAGACGGAGTTTGCGGCCAATTAAATCGGCTTTATTCAATTAATTGCAAATAAAAGGCTTTTGCGGAGTTTTAAATGAATTAATTAAATCAAATAAAGCGAAAAAAGGAGTTTTTGGCGGCAGGCGAGTGTGCAGCGGCGAGGCGTTGAGGTGTCTGTACACCCGAGCATGGCGGGCTCTCGAGCTCCGTTCTCCGCCTTTAATGCATCACTTTTGATATTTCTTTCGTTTTATTTCTTTTTATTTCTTTTTATTTTTGAATTTTCGATTTAATTCCTAAAATGGACAACTCAAAGACGGAAAGACGCAGAAGCCTCGGCCACCCCTCCCTCATGGAGCGCAGCCTCCAGCGCTCCAAGCACGAGGTGACTGCAGCAGCCCCGCCCCAGTGGTCCACTGCAGCAGCAGCAGCAGCAGCAGCGGCAGCAGCAGCAGCTGCAGCAGCAGCAGCAGCTGCAGCAGCAGCAGCAGCAGCAGCAGAAGCTGCTGCTGCTGCTGCTGCTGCTATAGGCCCCAGGACTTCTCGGAAGCCCTGGGCGGATTTTCAGGGCTCTTTTGCATTAGCGAATCTGCTGCCAACTAATCAGCGAATTAATTGGCAAATGAATTATTTATTTATTTATTTATTTTATTATTTATTTATTTATTTATTTATTTATTTATTTATTTATTTATTTATTATTTATTTATTTATTTATTTATTATTTATTTATTTATTTATTTATTTGCTGCTGCTGTGCTGCAGGTGAGCCTGAGTTCCTTTTCTTTTCTGTTTTCGGAAATGGTCCAGTACTCTCTAAATGCAGCAAAAAAAGGATACCGCATGGAGGACAGGTCAATCTGCTGCTGCTGTTGCTGCTGCTGCTGCTGCTGCTGCTGCTGCTGCTGCTGCTGCTGCTGCTGCTGCTGCTGCTGTTGCTGCTGCTGCTGCTGCTGCTGGTGGTGCTGCTAGTGCTGCCACTGCTGCTGCGGCTGACGTTCTCCCCCGCTGTTGCCGCTGGATCGCCGACTGCTGCAGCAGCAGCAGCAGCAGCTGCTGCTGCTGCTGCAGACGTCGTGCTGCGGCCGTTTTTGCTGCTGCTGCTGCTGCTGCTGCTGCTGCTGCTGCAGGCTGCACGAGATGGGGCTGCGGATAGGGTACAAAGTGCTGGAGTTGGTTTCTTTTCGAGAAAGAGCAGCAAAAAGAGAAACTCGAATTGTCCCTTTTTTGTCTTTTGTTGCTTCTGCGGTTTGGCGCTGTCTCTTCGGCCGCTCCATGGAGTTGCTGCGCGCCCAGGACACCGAGCTCGAGTGTAAACCCTTTTTTAGGGTTTGCAGTCATTTCAGTGCCTTTGATTAATTAAGATGTTAATTTAACTAAATAAATTAAACCCTTTTTTAGGGTTTGCAGTCATTTCAGTGCATTTGATTAATTGCATTAAATGAGCTGAAGATATTAATTTTATTAAATAAATTAAACCCTTTTTTAGGGTTTGCGCGCTAGCTGCCTTTAGTTGCAGTCAATTCAGTGCATTTATGATGAATTAATTTAATTAAATAATTTAAACCCTTTTTTAGGGTTTGCGCGCTAACTGGCTTTTGTTGCAGTTAATTGTTTTAGTGCGTTTGATTAAATTTAATGAATTAAATGGATGCATTTAACTGAATTTAATTAATTCAATTAAATTGAATTAAATAAATTCAATTAATTAAATTAATTCAATTAAATTAAATTAATTAAATTAATTAAATTAAATTAAATTAATTAAATTAAATTAAATTAAATTAAATTAAATTAAATTAATTAAATAA